AAAAAAAAAAACTTCGATCCTCACCTCGTCCTGCTCCTCGTGCTCCAGGATGGCCTGAAGGAACGCCCGGCGCTCGTGGCTGGAGGATTTCTGGTCGAACATTCCCGCCTGGATCACTTTCTGATCCACGTTCAGTTTGTATTTGGCGGCTGCCAGGATTTTTTCCTCCACGCTGTTGACGGTGCAGAGGCGCAGAACCCGAACCTCGTTCTGTTGCCCGATTCGGTGAGCCCGGTCCTGGGCTTGCAGGTCCTGGAGGAGTTGAGGAAAGGGAAAAAAAAAACCGGGGACAGTGATAAATAAATGGCTGGAGGAGCTGGGAGCAGAGGTTACACGCAAGAGTAAAGCAGAATTAAATAGGGCGTATTTCTATTTATTAAGTTTATTTTGAGGTTTTGTGAAAATCAAGCCCCGAGTGCCGCAGCGGGTGGCTCCGAGATGGAAGGAAAGCAAAGATTGGTCACAAAAATCTTCCATTTTTATAGGTTCTGGTTAATTTGTGTGAGCCCAGCCCACCTCTCCACGTAGTTTGTGCTCAGGGCCTGAAGTTTGGAGGAACTGGCCTTGAGTTTTTTAAGTGGAATAGGAGTGGTTTTGTCTTCGTCAGCCCAGCACGTCAGAAAAGCACATCCGAGGAGGAGAGGAAAACTTAAAATTAAAGGCATCAGCAGCACGGGGGCTCCCAAAAAATCCTGCTCTTCTCCTGATGTGGTGATGTGGGATGAGGCCTGAGGGCAGTCAGGGATTTCCAAGGATGGCTGGGATGTGGCAATGGGATCACCAGGATTATGGAAATCCGGTGGGATGGGGCCACAAAGGGTCCCATAAACCCCTGGTTTCGTCCTCAAAATCTGCAGGGATTCCCAAGGGTGATGGGGATGTAGAAATGGGATCACCAGGACCACCTAAATCCCGTGGGACAGATGGGGTGCCAAAAATTCCACTTTTGTCCTCAAAAATCCACGGGGAAGATGTGGGGTGACTCAGGGATCCCCAGGGATTCAGAAATGGGATTATGGAGGTCCCGTGGGAAGGGGCAGGGTCGGCCAAGAGGTGCCAAATTCCACTTTTGGCATCCACCCCCCAAAAGGGCTCTGAAAATTCCCTAAGGATCAGGGGAATTTGGGGTGATGGGATTGCTGGGACCACGCAGGTCCTGGAGGAAATGGCCACATCGGCCAAGAGGTGCCAAAAAAAAAAAACAAAAAC